ACAGATGCCTTGCATTGTGTCATTGCAATAAATATCTTTGTATCTTGACTATAGCTTGTTCTGCATCATCGACACTGTATAATGATCTGGAGGTGGTCTCTGAAGACGCATTCAACCAGTGGGAAGTCCAACGACGACCTGCCGAACAGGATGGGCCAAGGCAATTGCACTCAAATCATGACGTTGCAGTTTTGAGTGTGCTTCACGCCGAGGTGTCAGGTGGACGAAAGTTGACAACATTCGTGGATAGATGCGCTAAGAATTACCTGCAGTGTTTTGCTGGCACTGACATGAACAGGTCCCGACGGCAAGCTTGGTGTCGTCGGTGGCAGACGGTAGTTGTGAGTGGCAGGTGTCACCCGCCTTTGCTCTGATTTTTACAGCCAATGTGGCATATTTTTAATGGTAAAGGTGCGACGGTTTCGGATGTATGACGACAATGACGACGACAATGCTCCGACGATGAAAATAATGATCATAATGGTGATGGACGAATGTTGCAGCACAACTGGCTTTGAGTCGGTTGGCCCTTAGTGTTTCTGAGGAGTGCAAGGCAACAAAAGCTGATTGTGCAAGCAAACCATCTAAGGAATGAAGTTAAGACAGAATTATGTGCACCCGCAGTTGATTTTCCTGGTTTGAATTGTAATCGGGCCTCTTTCATGTTACTGCTTGATATAATATAGTAATTTGGAGAATATTTAATTTGTACATTAATTGTTATTATTCCACAAGAAATGCAACTTCGTACTGAAAGTATTGCTCCAATTGTTTGAGTTTGCCATTAAAGTAAGAGAAAATGTAGACAAAATGGCACAGCATGTGTTGATGCAGGGCCTGTTCAAACCACATGCCGCTGACCTCGATAAAGCATTGTTGTAAAGTTTATTTTTATATAATTGCAGCATTGCTGGTAAAGGCATGTGGTGGGTGGGGGTGTGGGTGACCAATGGTCGCTAACATTATATAGATACTGCCGCTGATGCGTTTTTGTGCTGAATGTATGCTATCACAGTAAAATGCTTGACTGTGGTGTACATTTATTGACTTAATACAGCATATATAGATATTAGTACAACAATAGGGACTTGTAAATAACGGACAAATGGCTATGTATTTGCCCTCAGGCTGATTGAATAAACTGAGGATAAAAAACGATAAATTGTGTTTTGTTACACTCTGCAAGTCTAGTAACGATGTAGACTGATCCATTTGTCTAATTATATATTTGTTAGAAGTAACAACTGATTGACTAATGCAGTTTAGTTTGAACGTGATCACAATGTGAAATAAGCTACTTATTGTAGAGCAAATATTCATTTAGGGGATGTGTGAGAAATCTGGACTAATTTAATTAAGAGAAACTTAAAAAGAGCATGTACTTTTTTTTTTTTTATCAGGACAGTGGGGTGATACTATCTTGCTCATGATTAAACAGTGAACAACAATACAAGGGTTGGTTTTCAAACACGGTGTCTAACTAATGCGCCCATTCATCCAATGGCTGAGAAATTGCATTCCACTAATTGCTTCAATTTAGCATATACCCCATTTTAATTGATAATCACAGGTTGAGTGTTACATAAAAGCTTATTTCCATAAAACCACTGCCCTAATAATTGGCAGAACTAGCACAATTCACACCTAAATTCACACAAAGGCAAATGAACTAGTACTGACGTGTTGACAATGCTCCGGGAAAGCAGAGGCAGAGCAGAAAGGCTGCGTTAATAGGGCAGGAATCTACATGTTTTGTAACTTCTGCCAGAGCATGTAGTCGACAGTAGACGTTGTCTACAGTTAGAATTGTATTTTAAAGCTGACTAATCAAGAAATTTTGCATGGTGATATGCAATATATTCTATCATTGTTGTAATTTATGTGAACTTTATAAGCAGGGAAACCGATTAGGTGTCAAGTAAAATTCTGGTTTATATAAGAAAACCTCAGTAAAATCAAAATTCTATAATTCAATTTGAAAGGGTCCTGATTGTGGTTTGTGACTAGTAAAATAATTTGATCATGCTTTACAAGTTTAGAAAGGTCGACTAAATTTACATTGGCTTTTGATGGTTTGTATCCTGTAGCTGGTCCTAGACCTTCTGGTGATGATGGATGGACTGCAGTCACAGCAAAGACGTCAAGAGTCCCGATTGATCCAACTAAATTGAAATTTTCTAGGGTATGACCTTATATGTAGTCGAGGCTCGAAGTCAGCATTAATAATCCGTACAAACGTGTTACTTTGTTTTTCCAATATTTAACTAAATCTTTTGTGGTAGCGAAAAATCGTAGGGATTTCCACTGTTTCCTTATCGTAAATTTAAATTGAATTCCGTAGCAGCCATTTTCTTCATGCTATGCCTTTGCTTTTCCAGACTAATACGATGGATGAGCACATTCAACTGGGACCTGGAGGTCTGCGTCCGGCTGCTGCTTGGGCCAGGGGCAGCAGTGGTGGCACCAAGGCTAGCACACCAGAGAGTGAGTCTCGGGCTTTCACTCCCGCCAACCGCTTTTCCGCACTCAGCAGTGACAACGTGAGACCTGACGACAGGAGCGACAACAGGCCCAGAATTAGTGGGAGGTGGGTGCTGTAGACGTGCTCTTTAGGGCACATCGTTAACGTGCTACTTTACTTTTGCGTAGTTGTGAGGCGTGATGCATCTGTGTAGAAATATATTTATTTATTGTATTCTGAACAGGTTGTCTGGCAGACGTGAGGATAAATCGAGAGACAGGCTGCCACCAACTCAGCCACTTCGCAAGTTTTCGGCACCGCCTAGTGCTGCACCCCTCCGAGACAGGGAAAGAGATGCTGCGATAGCTGCTGTCAAGAGCTTGCAACGACCTGGCAGTCGTTCACAGAGCAGAGAAGGCAGTCGTAGCAGAGAAGCAGGTAGGCTGTGGTCAACATAAATCGATGTGTAAGCATCTAACTCTGACTCTAACGCTGTGTGAGAGAAGAGAATTATGATTTCCGTGATCATCGTAAATGGGTTTTGAGAGTGCTTGTTCATTGAGTCTTGCTGTGCATCACTTTCATGTTACTCTAAATATGACATTTCTCAAGCATTATACATGTTATAATCTATATGAACCTTGCTAGACTATGTTAATAGCTTGTTTGGTGTCGCCTTGAAGTGTCCGAGCAGTGTTTGACTATTCAGTGTTGACAATGCTCCGGGAAAGCAGAGGCAGAGCAGAAAGGCTGCGTTAATAGGGCAGGAATCTATGTGTTGACAATGCTCCGGGAAAGCAGAGGCAGAGCAGAAAGGCTGCGTTAATAGGGCAGGAATCTACATGTTTTGTAACTTCTGCCAGAGCATGTGGCCAACAATTGATTTTTTTGCAGTTAACGGTGTATTTCGTTGTTAATTGATTGATATACAGATGCAATGATAATGATTTGTAATGGGGCTGAGATGCAAGCATTACAATTAAATTGACTACGTCACGAATTTTCTATGGTAAAATTTTTAAAATTTTTGTTGCCATTTTTTTACATTAAAAGTAAGAACTAACGTCGTCAAATTCTTACCTGATAAGATTGTTTCTCAACTAGTTAAAAATCCAAAATACCTGGACGATTTGATATTATGTTCCTGACATTAATTGCTTGCTATGGGCTATGTATGAGTCACGAGTGTATGTTCACATCGAACAATGTACTAAAATAGGAAGTATAATGCAGCAATTTAACCATAAAAAATTTACAGAATTACTTATATTTTGTGAAAAAGTGGAAATAATTTTTCAATTTTTTAGTATTTACGGTGACGTAATCACTTGTATTGAAGGCATAGTCATTATAATTGTCTGCACTCCGGTATTTGTTGACAGTTCCGCTCTTAACAACATCCCTGATATTTGATTTTTTATGTTTGAAAGCAACACTGTTATGCTTATAGTGCCACATTGTGCACAGGTAATTTCTTAATCCTGGAATGCGATCTGTTTATCACATCGTTCATTTTCACTTGCTTCCAGAAATACTCGAACACGAGCCTACCGTCGTGGCTCCAGCAAAGGAACTTAATGAAGAGGATGTGGAGAAGAAAACTGTAGCTATGCTTGATGAGTACTTGCATATCAATGATCTAAAGGTGGGTGCTCATCGCATCGTATTGCATATCAGTAGTTTATTTCTTTGAAGATTTAGTTTAGGATTTAAATAGGGAGAGGCTGTTTCATGAATGATCCTATGAACATAACTTAGTATTATTAAATATTATTAACCCTGTTACACATTGTAAGTGATTTGTAGTCCTGTTCTTTTTGAGCCTGTGATGATTATTCACCCGATCAGATATTTGTTGTTGAACAAATGAATTCCTCGTTTCTGAGGCTCTAGGTCAGTTGTGGATCCTATTAGGCAGAAACAGTACGAAGTAGAGCTCAATCAGTAATGCAATCTTTCAGAATCTCTAGGAAGGCTCAGTAGTAATTCCATTACTAGTTTGACTAAATGCACAAGCCTCGTTCTTTGCGATAGTAATATGCAAGTGTATTGATTATACATTCTAAACATATTGCACACTGTAGGAGGCTGTGAAGTGTGTAGAGGAGCTGGGAGCTTGTAATGCACACATGGACTTCGTCGTGTCAGTGTCGCTTAACCACGTTTTGGATCGGTCAGTGGTAGCTCGCAACCACATCGCAATGCTGCTGCGAGACCTCATAAAGAAGGGCATCCTTTCTCCTCCGATGTACATTAAGGGGTAAGGCCTGCAATCATGTATATGCGTGGATGGAGCATGAGTATTGATAGTAGTTCGTTCCAGTAATAATTTATTGCCTTTTCAGGTGAATGTAATCAATTATATACAGAATAATACGTAGCGCTCGAGTTTTTTATTTTTCACGTGTCGCAGTATGTGTTGACGGATGTGCCCATTTCCTCTGCAGTCTGTCCGTGGTATTAGACAGTGCTGATGACATTTCAATGGACATCCCACACATCTGGGGCTACTTGGCAGAACTGATTAGTCCCATGGTGCTGGATGGCACGCTGCCCTTGGGTTTCCTGAAAGAGGCCTGCAAACCACTTGTGGAATGCAGACGTGCAGGAAAGTTGGTTTCAGAGGTGCTGCACAACGCATCCCACCTAATGGTAGGAGTTTGAATTGAATAAGAACATTCCTTATTCTAAGAGCATCTCTCAGTCTGGGCAAACATATCGGAGGATGGATCATAGATTGTTTTAGTGTTGAGAATGTTACAGGAAAAGATGTTTCTTTGTTTAATACGATTGTCAAAATGTTGAGTCAACAGCATCAACATGGTAAAGCAATTAATGATTACCGGCAGGGCGGGGCTAAGCTTGGAGAACTGTGGAGGAGTTCTGGACTTCAGTGGAGTGATTTCCTGGATCCTAGTGAAAATGTCGAGGAGTTCCTACAGAGGAGTGTGAGTAGCTTCCCGTTAAAACATCTTCGCTGTGGCGACCTACACGTGTCATTGCATCCGTCATAATGCTTCGTGATCGTTGTGTATGATGGACAGCAGCCCACGATTTGCCGTAGGGATGTTGTCAGTGTTTTGAGTACAAAAGCTCGTTTTTACTTTCTTTTAGAAGCTTGAATTTATGGCGCCCAACTCCGATTCGAGAGTGGCTAAGCTTGACATGACTATGGAGCAGATTGGCGAAGAACTGCAGAAATTTTTACACCAGTCCCCCGACAACGAAGCGGTCTTCGACTGGATAGAGGTGCGTGGCAATATCGCCAGTTATGCATGTACATATTCAGCCATGCTTGTGATATTGGTCTGAGACTGTATTATCTGATACTGTTTGCCTTTTGTTAGTTGTAAGTAGCTAAGTTAAGCTAAATTAATTTAATTGATTGCATTACTTTTGCAGAGCCGTGTACCGGAGGAAAAGACGAAAAGCAAAGAATTCATTCGTGCTCTTGTAACAGCCGTGTGCCACAGCGTCATTAAAGGTGTGCTATCCTTGCTACCTGTTGTATTCGAATTAACTGCTGCCATCCTGGTTCTTCTTTTTTGTAATCGTTCTTATAGTTTGCACGAATTTTCTGGAAGTCGGGCATTTAAATTTCAGATGATAACAAAGGGATAGCAAAGGCTGACCCTGATTTACTGAAGAAGAGAGGTGTGCTTCTACTCCGCTTTATGGATCACAAGGAGGAACGCGAACTGCAGGCCCTCTACGCCATCCAAGCACTCGTACACAAGCTGTCGCACCCATCTGGTATGTAGTGCACCCTCATCATTCCCTTATGTGTGTACCCATGTATGTGTACTAGTTTGGAATCGAAATCTATTCCATGTTTATTATACAATGGAGCCAATAACATTGCCAAGCTAATGTCGATAGTACATGTGTCTGCTAATATATTACTGGCCACCCGCACAGATTGCTTGCATTGGTGTCTTGCATAAATATCTTGTATCTTGCTATTAGGCTTGTTCCTGGCCATCATCGACACTGTATATGATCTGGAGGTGGTCTCTGAAGACGCATTCAACCAGTGGGAAGCCAACGACGAACCTGCCGAACAGGAGGGCAAGGCAATTGCACTCAAATCTGCCGTGCAGTTCTTCACGTGGCTTCACGCCGAGGGTCAGTTGGACGAAAGTTGACCACATTGTGGATAGATGCGCTAAGAATTACCTGCATGCTTTTTGCCTGCACTTATGAACAGGTCCGACGGCCAAGCTTCGTGTCGTGGTGGAGGTAGTGTGAGTGGCAGGTGTCACCCACCCTTTGCTCCTGATTTTACAGCCAAGGTGGCATTATTTAATGGTAAAGGTGCTACGGTTGGGATGATGACGACAATGACGACGACAATGCTGACGATGAAAATAATGATCATAATGGTGATGACGATGTGCAGCACAACTGCTTTGGTGGTGGCTTAGTGTTGCTGAGGAGTGCAAGGCAACAAAAGCTGATTGTGCAAGCAAACCATCTAAGGAATGAAGTTAAGACAGAATTATGTGCCCCCGCTTGATTTTCCTGGTTTGAATTGTAATCGGGCCTCTTTCATGTTACTGCTGTATAATATAGTAATTTGAGAATATTTTTTTGTACATTAATTGTTATTATTCCACAGAAATGCAACTTCGTACTGAAAGTATTGCTCCAATTGTTTGAGTTTGCCATTAAAGTAAGAGAAAATGTAGACAAAATGGCACAGCATGTGTTGATGCAGGGCCTGTTCAACCACATGCCGCTGACCTCGTAAAGCATTGTGTAAAGTTTATTTTATATAATTCGCAGCATTGCTGGTAAAGGCATGTGTGGTGGGGGTGTGGGTGACCAATGGTCGCTAACATTATATAGATACTGCCGCTGATGCGTTTTTGTGCTGAATGTATGCTATCACAGTAAAATGCTTGACTGTGGTGTACATTTATTGACTATACAGCATATATAGATATTAGTACAACAATAGGGACTGTAATACGGACAAATGGCTATGTATTGCCCTCGGCTGTTGAAATACCTGAGGATAAAAACGCATAAATTGTGTTTTGTTACACTCTGCAAGCTCTAGTAACGATGTAGACTGATCCATTTGTCTATTATATATTTGTTGAAGGTAACAACTGATTGGCTAAATGCAGTTTAGTTTGACGTGATCACATCGTGAAACTACTCTTTGTAGAGCAAAATATTCATTTAGGGATGTGTGAGAAATCTGGACTAATTTAATTAAGAGAACTTAAAAGAGGCATGTACTTTTTTTTTTTATCAGGACAGTGGGTGATTACCTATCTTGCTCATGCATTAACACAGTGACACAAACAATACAAGGTGTTGTTTTCAAACACTGGTGTCTAACTAGATGCGCCCATTCTCAATGGAGACATGCATTCGCACTAATTGCCTTCAATTTAGCATATACCCCATTTTAATGCATAATCACCAGCGGTTGGAGTTTACATAAGCTTATATATCCATAAAACCACTGCCCTAGATAATTGGCAGAACTAGCACAATTCACACCTAAATTCACACAAAGGCAAATGAACTAGTACTGACGTGTTTTATTAAACCCAAGTTTCTATACATAGTAAAATACACTGTGGACTACAAATTTGATACACATTTGAAACATAAAAGAACATGAAAGAATGCCACGCGAGTAAGTCTTCTAGAATTGCCTCTTAGTTGATAAAACGTATCGAGTCAAATATGAGCAACGATACACTAGAAACTTCAATTCACAAAAACTTGCAACCAAGTAACAACAAGATGGTACTGAAATGCTCGAACTTAAATGAGTAAAATTACTACAAGTTAAATTGTGATGCATAAATGCTTATGAACTAATAAGCGGTGAGGGAAGTTTGAACACTAATCTTCAGGTAATTACCCTTACGTCTAACGTTTCGATTATAGCAAATTAAGAAATTGAATCGTGCACTACAACCCCTGTGTAGACTGCCTACAAAAGTTGTGAAAATCTTGTCTATATCCTACTATATACGTACCCACGTACACATAATATCTCACTTTATATTAATAGACCAGAATGCAATTGAAAGCTACAATGATATTCTGATTACAGAATAGATTTACACACAATGATAAACTGTTCATGTCTCAATAGCAAGCTATATACAGTTGCACGTATAGGTAAACTAAGCGAGGGTTCTACATGACCTTGTGAGAACAAACATTACAGCCCTTCGGCAAATTTGCACAAAAAGTAGCCATTAAGACAACGTGAATCGGTCAGCAAACATGAATAGGGATAACGCTGACCCGGTGCACAGCTTCTACTGTGGCGATGGAGAACGACTTTCATCCAAGACTGGGGGAGACACGTTGCTTGGGGACAAGGAGCGCTCCTGTGGAGTGGTTGATCGCCGGGGCTTGCTGTGTGTCCTGCTGCCGGACCGAGACTTGGACCTGTAGATACGATTTAGCTACAGCTAACACGACCAATTTCGTCAGCGTGATCTATCACGCCCACAGGCACTTGGAACGTCTCAATAAAAATAAAATGTAAACACGAAATGCCCTCTACATCTATTTCTGCCTATTATTGGCCGTATAACTTGCTGTAAATGCCGTTCGAATGCTCATGCTGCAATACACAAGTACAACGCACCCCGCCCTGTGCACAAACCAAATGATAGAGACTAGGTAGAAGCATGATGCTAAATCGCTTGACGCCTCGCTCATTTCACACTTCCAGCCAGAATACATCCACCATCCCACTAGCCTTCCATCTGGTAGTCTATGTCTACACAGATGTGTCTTTCGTCGAATTAACTCTGGCCTTTGCTCTTACCTACTCCCAGCCAGAGAATCTTGTGAAATCTGCAGTAAATGTTCCTCCATGAAAATGTAAAGAGGACGTACATCCGAAAAATCCCTAGACAACCGCTACTTTCGATCGTGCTGTAGTCGTCGTGCGTGACTTCTGCCGCGGCGCATTATGCCTTGGCTTGACGCCTCAACGGAGCTGAGCCGGCAGGCAGCCATCCCGCAATGCAGCGCCCCATTACTCGTGTAAAACAGACATCTCGTCTCCTTACATTTCACGAGAGAACATTCCTGCAGGGATTTCACGAGATTCTCTGCGAGTAGTAAGAATAAGGAAGTAACCAAGCGCCAGAGTTATACTCGGAACAAGTGGAACATTAGCTAAACATCCGCTTACCAAGCTGGAAGCTGTTGATTTGGTATTCGTGCCTGGTGCAAAGTGGCACAGTGACGCGCGTCGAGCCTATTCTAGCGCCAGCTGCTTTCCAGCCTGTCTCTTATTCCTGTTGTCTTGTGCACCGGCGGGCCGGCGGTGTACTTCTGTGTTGCAGATGAGCATTTGAACGACATTACGCACGTTATCGACAATAATCGCGAAACAGAAGTAAGAAGAACCTTAACTTGTATAAATACATTTCGTGTTACCATCCTCTTGTTTATTTAAGGAACATTCCAAGTGCCCCCGTGATCAACCATTCCTCCGGACAGTCCAGCAAGATCATGTTAAACAGCTAGGGTTAATGACCACACTCCAGTTGTTTTAGGTCTCGAGACCGCTTTCTGAGACCGGTTTCCTTGGTTTCTTGTCTCGGTCTCGGCCGTCGGAGTGCAGCTGACTCGGATCTCGGACCTCGAGGAACTCGGGTCGAGCAGGGCTGCGAGGCCACTACATACATTAGTAGTCACCCTAGATTGCTGGTTTTGTCGCCTTTAAATCGCGTGTGGGCCGAGTTAACTGCGCATCATTTGTATTCACCACGGACATATAATAATTACACTATGGCGCGGCGGGTCAATCCATCGTCTACTGCGACTGCAGCAACAATCTATTAAACCGGCATAGGGAAGAGGTGTAACATATGTCCATGACCTATTGCGAGTACTTAGTACGTTATACTAATGACCTACCCACTTCAAAGTATGGTACTAGTATAAGTACTAAGTACAACACTCTGCTATTTGGTTCAACGAAGCTCTCGTCATTCTCCGTAAAACACCAATGGATCCGTTTAATTTTGACACTTCGTATGAGCTCGTGTTGCGTGTGTTTTCGCTGACTATATCACTTTCAATCTAACGATGCACGTTGCGCTTTTTTCCTCAGATCAATCTCATAAGCCAATCGGATGATTGCCACTATCTACATTCTACATACACTAGAAATGCCCTACAAAATGTCTAAGCACAATTTTTATATTATTTTATTTATTTTCCAACCGTTAATATCCTAAGTCGACACACATAGCTGTCCAAAAGTGTCGACTTATGCAAGTTTTATGGTACTTCTATTTTATGCAAACAAGTCCAGATCCGGGACCGGACACACCCCCCCCCCATTTTTGCGAACAAACACATTACATAGAAAGTGAATGGCCTTGTCGCGTGCTGTGCCCCCCTTTTTTTAGATCAAAACTGACTGCGACTCGGACTCCGGGTGGTGTGACCTGACTCGGTGGCGCGGACTCGGACTCGGACTCGGACTCGGGGGGTGCGGACTCGGACTCGGTCTTGGACTCGGGGGGTGCGGACTTGACTACAACACTGGAACACACAGACACAGTCTGTGCCATATGTACCAAACCTCTCACACGTGCCAATAATCATTTGAGACGACTCCCACCCAACCTCACTGTAGAAGCATGAACAAGAGAGCAGCAGCTGTGCCAAAAGGAAAAGTCGCAGTTTAAAGAGGAATACGCACCTAGTACGACGACGTTCCCGATGTTCACGGCCACGAGATTTTGAGCGCGATCGAGAGCGAGATCGTCTGCTGTACCTCCTGTTGGGAAAAGCATCAATTAAAACTCAATAGCCGACAAGTCGAAAATCAGTGGTTTAAAAAGTGCTACTAAATCAATACACATATCCGTACCAATTCCGAGTTAACCCCAGCTGCTATTTATTAGAGATATGAGCAATGCCACTTAACACATACCTGCCACGGCCATCTCTGTCTCTGTCTCTTTCTCTATCTCTGTCATCATAGCTCCCTCGCCCCCTATAGGGAGAGCGCCTGGGATCCTTCACCCTCATTTGATTTGGATCTGTTGCAATAGAAACACAAACATTAATTATGCAATATTCGGAAAACCAAGTACAACCATCAAAATTTACGCAACGGTTCCTTACAATGCATATCAAAACAAATTACATGAGACATGGTCATTAACTAGTTAACAACGATTTCAATATCTTATGCAGGGTGCAAAATTCACAGGAGTCCGGAATCAAATACTCCCTGATTTGACATATGCAGGAGTCCGTGCAACTCCCTGAAAATTCTGCCATAATAACTAGTCCGTTCCGGAGCACGGCCTCGTGGAATTACCATATTTTACAGCTAATGTCCAAAGAAAATTTGGCAGACGTGCAACTACATGAATCTTAAAAATGAAAGTGTCAATGGGGTCATTCCGTGTCAAATCACCCAAAAAAAATGGAAATTTACACCTGACCTCCTTCAAATTGGCTGAAATTTGGTTTATGGGGTAATTTAGGCTGAAAAAGCTGAAATTTCAAATTTCAGCTCCGTCGGACAAACGGTTTTCGCTCTACGGCACGCCCTTTTTTGGCGATTTTGTCCAAAATGGACGCACCCGTCAATTTTCAAATGGTCATATCTCTGTAACTACTAGGCCAAATTGGTTGATATTGGTGTCTTTGGAAAGCTAATTGCATAGGCAATCCAAATCCAAGTTTTGTTTCTTTATTTCTGATTGCACAGATGGTTCTGGTTCTAGTTCTGCATCATTACTGTCTCAAACTCTTTGCAACATTCACATCAAGAAGTGCCATGTGACGTATAGAGGACTGTCATTAAGCGCACTAGTCACCAAGGCTAGCCAGCAGGCGCCCAATATAACAACCAGTCTGCAGCGACGGAATTATGGCATTTCTGCGTGAGAATATTTCCTAGTACACGTTTTCAATGTGACACCGTGACCAGAGGATGTAACTCAATCAGCTTCAGAAGTAAAGGACAAGCTTTATATGGGTGAAAACTATCAAGAACACTGCAATACACAATTCGCTTCCATCTCAACTCACGCTACATTGTACAAGTTGAGTACGCAAGCCCTGCCGGATTTACACATGTTCAGCTCAGTAATGATGCAGAACTAGAACCAAACCATCTGTGCAATCAGAAATAAAGAAACCAAAACTTGATTTGCTGTCTTATATGACGGCTTTCCGGTGAGATGGCATGGCTGGAGAAAATTCGGAAGGAGTTTGGTGACTACCACAGTCAATTCTTATGCACCCTCATGGACCCTACACAGCAATTCAAATGGCCATTGGAAACAGATCAAGCTGGTACACAGATAATATTCTGTGTACAATCAACACCCCATCTCTTAGCATATCTCTTCCAGAAAGTACTTATCTCAGAAAAACTGATGGCCTGCGAGATTTCAAGGTGTGCAGTCGTGACTTGATCATGATCGATCAATGAATATTATAATTGAAAAACATTGGAATATATATGATTTGTTCATTGAACTGAATAGTCATTTAGAATGTTATTGCCTGACCTGTCATCTCCAATCAGTTATGTACATCAAAGCATATGTTTGGTTAATTGATTATCCGAAATAGATTGAAATGGATATTACATATGTACTACATATACAGCATTGCATAGGATAGGGTGTATTGCATCCTACTATCCTAACTTTGGCAGAAGAGCGAAAGCAAACAAAAAATATTATATCTCTAATTTTTTATATTATGTAGATAAAACATGCTTTAGAGGTATAATTTTCAATGAAGTTCACTCAAGTTACTGATACCACAGCGTCAAATTCAAAGTCAAATGAAAGGTCAAAAGGTCATAAACTTTATACTTCCTAATATAACAAATAATGGACAGATTGGATTGCCTATCACATTAGACCTTTCCAAACACCAATATTAACCAATTTTGGCCTTAGTAGTAGCAGAGATAGGACCCATTTGAAAATTGCAGGTCGTCCCATTTTGCGCCAAATGCCAAAAAAGCGGCATGGCGTTAGCGCGAAAACGCGTTTGTCTGAGGGAGCGGAAATTTGAAATTTCAGCTTGTTCCAGCCGAAATTACCCCATAAACCAAATTCAGCCAATTGGAAATGAGTAAGGGTAACCCATTGGGTGATCTGAACACGGAAGACGCCAATGACACTGTAGCTCACACTAAAAAAGACACAATATGAGTGAGTAGAGACCAAAAGTCAGTTTAAATTGACAACCATCGACGTACATATAGAAACAAAGAGTATAATGGACAGAATTCCCATTATATCTCTGATAATTATAACTGATGTAATTTTTTATGTGAAATAAATAAATTATATTATATATAAATATATAAACAAATTTATAAACCAAATGAATCACAATTTGTGACGCAGATGCGTACACCCGCTTTGATGTTTCTTAGCATAAATCATTATATCATAATAATAATATAATAATAATAGTATAAATCATAATATGTTCATAGTAGGAATTTTGGCATTAAAGATATTGTCAATAAATCTTGTAAAACGAACCACGCAGTGATAACCACAGACTGTTTTGATATCTGCGCCTCTAATATAATATCGATCATAATGCAAACCCTAAACCTAATTTGCTTTTTTTTAACAACATCGAAACCCCTACCCTTATTCATCACATACCTAAAATGAGCAAAATCCGTTAGAACCTGAACTATAATGCAATTCCCATTTCCCAAAAAAAAAATTGCCGTGCGTCAAGTACGCGATGGCATGCTCAAAATAGTACTCTAAATATGGGAGATCATAGCTAATAACAACTAACCAATTTCAACATGTGGTTCAAAACGGTCTTGAAGTTATCGTGGACCATACAAGGGTTGACGGACGGACGTACGACGAACCATGGCAATAGCTCAGCTTGACGATGTCACGGTGAGCTAATAAGCACATGCGTTATTGTAAATATCTTTAATTTTGAACCACAGACTGCGGACTCCCTCTTTTTGAGAGTCCGTCGGACTCCCGTGTTCAAAAGTTAATTTCTACCCCTGTTATGCCCTTTCTGACATAAAGTAAAAGAAGAAGCACATACTTTTGCGATCACCCTGGGCAAACTCCACCTCAAGCTCTCGCCCATAAAAGCGAGTCCTGTCCAAGCCATAGAGCGCATCCTCTGCATCACGGATGTCGTCAAACGTTACCTACCTGGTCAAGGACTGAAAACAGACACTGAAACTACCAACGCTTACTGGCTTCTAGTATGTTCTATAGCAACATACGGGGCACACATGCGTTAGCAGTGAGACAGGGTCAATTGCTCATAGCTTTGCAAATACACTGAAACACGTACCTCTAAGTCTTACTCGTGTTTGGCCAACTTGTTAAATAGTACTGACTATTTTAATAAAACCCCATTTAATAAATCATCATTTAAGAGACAAGAAAAAATCTTCGTTTAATAAATACTGTGTAAATGTAAATACAATATTATTCATAAAAATCAAATAAGATTAGTTGAAAAAGAACTAATGATAATTTGCACCATCACCTTTGTAGTTTACCATCCCCTACCCCATACTAAACAAGGCTTATGCGCTGACAACGCTTGTGTACATCCCTTCGACACCCCCTCCACCTTAGCATGACGTAGGCAGCATATTATAATGACATCATTTAACAGTGTTTCGTTTAGCAGACAAACCACAGCATCACACCTCGTCTATTAATCGAGCTACCCTAGTATAGCACATTATATTAGGTTTGCTGGTTTCTAGTGGATTATGAATACCATTTTTGATATTTGCGAAATATTACTTTAAAACCACAAATTATACTAAATCTGCCCTAGATCGATTCCCCATACTTGCAGCTTGATTGAACTTGATCCAGTACTTCCAAGCAAAGTAGTTACGAAATAGCAATGACGCATTAAACTTGCGCGACTTGACCTGACAGTTTTGTGACTTGACTACTTGATCTGAATCATTCCAACTTGCTTGAATTCCCCTAGACTTTGTGACCACTTTGACCAGAAATGAAACCTTGCATGCTGTTAGACTTGATTGCATACTTTGCTTGCCATGACATACATAAGATTCTTGTTTTTCAAGATTGTGATTTTGAACAAAACCTTGATTACATCAACCATGCCTTGTTCTTGACTCACCTGCGGCAACAAAATAGAGTAACACTGAAGACAAACGTATTGTTGCATCAGGTTTAGCTAACAATAGCAAATATATTTACTATTGATAAAAATGTACCTGCATCTATAAATTACATCAGTTCTAATATTATCATTATTAACATCTTGTGAAATTCGGGTAGCTAACTGCAGATTGTGACCTGTTCAGGTGGACTGGTTTACTATTTTGTATTCACACTTATCGGCAATGATAATAACCTTACATGTCAGACCATAGCATCACAAGGCAAGTATCCATTTTAGATAGGTAGTGTACATGCCTTTAACAAGACAACTGTGCTTGTCTAACACCTTTCTCTGCCCGTCTTTGTCATATGTACATTCTTTGCTCTGCCATTAACTCTTGCAGGGGAAGACGACATTACTATCTTTAGACCCTTGGGGCACCCTTGTCTGAATTGCTTGCCACATTTCTATCAAACTTTAAAGTGAGTGCTTTTTCCTTTATCCCTTGATACCCGCTTGATTAGCTTGACTTGCTTCGTTGTACTGAATCATAACTACTTGTCAGTGAATGTTTGTGATAATCCCAACACTTGTTGTGAATCTTTATCTTTGGTCAACATGCTTGTTATTGTTACATCTTTAAATCTGACAAAAAGCAACAAAGCAATTTATGAAAAATAATGTACATTTTAGCCATTTATTGGCCATTATTGAGGTCAATCTAAATTATGACCTCTGGTTTTTAATAATGGGTTTATGATTATATTAAGACCAGGGTTATGCCACTGATGGTTAGGTTGGCAGGGGGATGGACATTTATTACAGGGTTCCTAAAGTGGAATTGAGCACCAACACTTCTATGATTTGCTTAAACGATCATATAGGTTTTACCAGAAATCTGTCTGTCTACAATGCAAACATCTACATGTATCAAATGTAGTCTACCATATAAGTAAACGTTATTAAAGACATCTGTTAAAACCTCAAATTTACACTGATCATATGATATGAAAGGATATTGTACATATGCAAATCCTCGAGGTCGCCTCGTGTAGTAATCTAGCGGCACGTAAACATCTTTAATGGGACCATACTTTCCAAACAAGCTGCGTAGCTCTTCTGGCCTGCAACATACAACATGGCAATTATGATAACAGACAAAATGGAACTTATGACTCATACTCATTCTTTTTCGTAGTTTACACACAGTGTAGTCACATGTGTGCAGTAAGGTTGTCCATTGTAGAGCAGAATTTGAACAGCATTTACACAGAATTACTAGGTGATATATAATCTAGACTAGAGTATATGAACATGAAAACTTTGGTAGTAAATGCAACTTGTGTATATTTACTATCGGGGGTCAAAATTAAGGGCAGCAAGCAGCAGTTCTGCGCCTACAGGAGACAGCCGACTGCTTTCAACATTGGCAGCAACTACTTGCTGCAAATAACTTCTTAATAAACCATAATAAAAGTACCAAAGACTCTGTCTGAGTGAGTGAATTTGCTGCCTGTTTTTTTCCTCTGGCAGCAAGTAGTTCCTGCCTGGTAAAAAAACAAATTTCTAACCCTGACTAAAATTTTATTCTTTAGATGGTTAAAGTGCAACTGGGGATGTGATGTGCGACTACTATGCGACTTATACTGTAACTTGTAAGTGTGGGGAGCTCAGCCTCTAGCATAGCCGGTAGAATATTATTATCATGCCTTATTCCACTTTACTACTGGGAAGAAGCGACAATTAAAATTAACAGTCAGGTAGTGTTACATCCTGCACACAGCCTACAATAATAAGCTATGCCACCTCCACATCTACCTATGCTACTTTTCTGCACTGACTGGCTAAAGAAATGGAAGCATCTTCATTGTAGAGTCACATAGTTGTTTTAAAAGTGTCTTAACGTAATATTTTTGTCACAATAATTTCAGCCCTATGCACAAATCAAACAGATTTCAGCCATCGTATCTTACGACCCACAGCTTGTCGCTAACAAAAGCATAGATCCAGTATTCGGAATAAGAGCTATCCATTTGTCCTCACTAGTCCATTTCCACGGAGGACAAGTAAACCTGTCCAGTCGCTTGTCCGCTGGACAAGCAGCTTTTTAGAGCAACTTTTTAGAGCAATTTTTCATCATTTTCTACCATCGCTTCAACAAGTAATAACTTAAAATAAATAATTGTGCTTATTTATGTTCTTTCAAGTTTGGTGCCTAATTTGAACTTAGTGAACTGTATTAAAATTACAAAGTAAGATATTGGGTCTAAAATTTAACTTGATTAAAAATGTATTACACATTTACTATATTTCTATGCTATTAATCAGGACAAGCAAAGATTTTGCAGGACAAGCAAAAATATATTGTAGCTTGTCAGTCGGACAAGCAAATTTTTTTTATTATTTCGAACACTGAGATCACATCCCCTAAAATCACATCTGGTGACATGGTGGCAGAAAACTCTCTGCAAGTTGTTTATAAGTGCAACGTTTTGAGGTAAAAATAAGGGTAGTGTGTTACAACCTGCACACAGCCTACGACATAAGTTCTGCCACTTCCACATTCCACCTATGACACATCCTACAGTAACAGAATGGAACAGCTTTCATGTACAATGAAGTAGAATAAATAATCAAAAAGGTGGTTACTCGGTATTTTTTATAAAATAACTTCAGACCAATTAACATATTGAAGAGAGATTTCGGCCATCGTTCCTTGTCGCCAACAGCATAGGTCACATTCCCTAAAAGTAAAATCACATTCGGCAGCATTATATTATAATTTATATGGCAGTAACCTCTCAGTCTCTGTCTCTGAAATTTGTGCAAAAGTATGAAGTTATTGCCTAGAATCGCAAGTAAATCAATTTTTACCCTGCCATTTCTGCAGGAAATTCAGTTTGCCGGAATTCAACAAGTGGCGTTGTTTATGTAGGCTGTGCGAAGGACCTAACACACTATTTGGTCACAACTATTTAGCTTCTCCCTGTGAAAAGTCGGACGATGTAGGGGCCTGGCGAGGCTAGCTCTAGTAGTAGTACCGTCAACCGGGGTGACTTTGATAGTTTTTTGGAATTTTTTATTACTTTTGAGTAGAATAAACGTTTTGTTTTCATCCTCAAACTGTTCAAACAATACAAATATTTGGATTTTCTGAAAACTTTAATGTTATACGGTAACTCTCAAACGAATGTCTTTATTGATTGTTCGGAAACTACTTCTGACAGTTGCAAAATGAAGTTGCACTCCATGCCCCTTTGTACTGAAAACAAAGTTCATGAAACCAATTGTCACAATTGTCGTACTGTTCCCAGTCGATACTCCTCAACCTCCTGTAGTTGAAGCTGTGGCAGATTTGACAGGTTTCTTCTTCTTAATTGTCATGTTCGCATTCATCTTCGTATTCTTCAGAACTGGATGATACCGGTACTTCAATTACCTTGCGTTTTTCACCTTTCTTTCCAGACTTTTGGAAATAAGTTGTGGATATAAAAATCAGTTAACCCTAACCCTAATTCTACCCCTATCCCTAATTCTAAAATAAAACAAAATTAGCCAAAAATAATAATTAGAAAAATAAATAAGAGACAAAATTAGCCAATCAGAGCCGTCCCCTAGGGGATCACCATCTCTACCCTGTGCAAAATTCCTTACTAGGGTAGCTTTGACATTCAGTGCGACTTTTATAACCAATTATCAAAGGCCCAAGGATAGAGAACATGGGTCCCAATAAAACCAATGTGCCTAACCCTAAACCTAATTCTAACCCTGGCCCTAACGGCCCAAGGATAGAGAACATGGGTCCCAATAAAACCAATGTGCCTAACCCTAAACCTAACCCAAACCCTGACCTATTATATTGATATAATATGATATTTATATTGATGTAAATAACATTGGTTTTATTGGGACGAATGTTGTCTATCCTTGAACCGAGCTGGGTTACTCAGCCTGTGAGTGTGAGTGTTAGTGTTAGAATAGTACTACTACTATACTGTACTCTGTTAGTGTTAGTGTTAGTGTTACTGAGTGCACTACATACCTTGTACCGTCTGGCACATTTCGAATGTATAGAGACGTATTTGGAGGTCTTGAATATCTCGACATATTTCCTTTGTCGTCACAGACAAGCTTTGGTCACAGATAAAGACACGATGGCGGCGGCCCTAACAGATGGAACCCCGTGTGTTTGTTTAGTCAACGCTAGCGTTAACAAACGGGTTTAAGAATGCGCTGTGTCTATAGCGCCCATCTACAAAAAAAACATGCGCGCTACCTATCGTCTAATTTAAGTTGTAAATGCATTTTAAAAGGCTCCCATGCGGTTACGCTGCCCATAGAAATATACTAGTATTCTATAATAATATAAATATATAGAGTCTAACCATAGATAGGGAGCGATGTGATTATGTGTCAGCAGAGTCAACCGGCGTCAGTGTACAAGCCATATAAATAGAATCATAGATATAGAAGAATAGAGTACCTATTCTACTTCTGTGCGACAAGCCTGGGTTATTTTCACCATCGTTAGATGGCGCACACGACAATAAAAATGGCGAAGTTTATCAAGTGTTGTGAGATCTGTACCTAAAAACCAACATCTCATCACTCGCATTTGTTTGACATTCCCCAAACACAAACACGCGTGTATTCATTTAGTTTTATGGTACGGTTTTATTATATGTAAACTCCGTGTAGCGATGGCACTAGTTGCTTATGGAAGTAGTGATATTTCAAGCGATGAAGAGGACGTTCAAATGCAACCCCAACAACACACAACGAGAGAACTTTGTAAACAATCCATCGAAACATGTAACCCAACTAGCAACGCCATCACACAACTCGATACCAGCGAGTCACATGTGACATCATCATCATCATCCACACAATGGACGTCACATCCATCGGATGCCTCTCGAATGTCGAATGTTTCTCGCAGTCACTTGAACAGAGACACTTCTGTAACATCAACTCGAAATGAGTCATTAGCATTTTCCATGTCGCAGCCTAAGCCGAAATCACATACTCCGAATCAAGGCTTCTTTTCGGCATTACCCCCACCGAAGTCGAATGAATCGATGGGTTGTGCTCAGCAGTTCGACTTTGATGATGATGTATCTGATGTGCCTCGTGCACCAGTTTGCAGCATCAAAACCTCAAAGGAAAAGTCTGCTACTGAGGTCACAGAAACTAAAACCTTGCTAAGGTTGCCAGTGTCATCTGCTAATTCAGATAAGAAAGATAAGAAGAGGCAACCCGTGAAAATTTCAGCACCTGCTTTAGTAACCAATGTATGTTTAATAATAATATCAAAATCTGCTTTTAATGTGAGCTGGTAGTGTATGCCCAAAGGATATAAGACTAAGAGTAAGAGCTGTCCACATTTGCACATGTCGCACATTGCGAAAATGAATTGGTGACAGCTCTTATATCCTTGAACCGTTATTAGTATGTAGTAGGTACTGTTATAATGTATTATGTTTCAGCTATTAACACGTTCAACGCTGCCTGGGTTAACAATGCACCTACCGCCCTGTGCTGAGATTTTCGCGTTTTTACCGCTTAGTCACCTATTACACAAAATGTTTTTGGCAGGTTTAACTAGCTATAAAATTATTTTTAATTAGTGGCTAGTATAATATAGATATAAACCTATTCTCAGACATCAAAACAACACCGGAATGTATCACCCGTGATCTATCAAATCAAACACAACTTTCAGACATAAAAACAACTTCACAACACACGGCGGTCAAACGCGCTTTGGCGAGGTGAACTAAAAACATTACCTCAGTCCCAAAAACTCCCAAAATAACGTCCCAAACAACAGTAATGTATTGTATAAATTATGTCATCTACTACTGGGGTTTATACAGTGACGCTATTGAATTGCTAAGCGTATAGCCCCTGCCATCTATAGGAGAACATAGTAAACGTTCCAAATGAATTTTTATTTTATTTTTTTTTTGCCACGAGTATACTCGTGTTTCGCGTTGAACGTGTTAATTGACGATTTTATTTTTTTACTAACCTTCAATTATAGATGATTATAGAACCATGCCAAACGGCGTTGCTAATAAACCAAACAGGTCTATAATCATCGTTGATAGTCGTGAATTTATTTTTTATGTTTCAGGATGATTCAGATGAAGATGAATCATCTAAGGAAAAAAAAAAACCTGCTGTTGTCGTAAGTTAAATTTTTTGATATCAGTGAAGTTGTGTGCTTATGCACTCTAGAGCAAACAATCATAAAAATAGATAACCGTGTCTTAGTCTCAGTCAAATTAAGTAATGTTATGCATGTGGTTTGAACAATGTAATACTTTATTACCTCCGCCCAACGGAGTTGGAGGGCGGAGGTTATGTGATCGGTCTCGTGCGTTCGTGTGTTAGTGTGTGTGTTCGTGTAGCTAGCAGCAGGCCAGTCAGTGTTGGTGTGTTGGCGCGATCGATATTAGCGCGTCCAGTCAAGCGTGTACATGTGAGCGAGCAGCAGTAATGAGCGGCTGCTACGGAGCGAGCGAACAGCAAGCCAATACAATAATAAGACATACATGTTACATGCTGGCGGAGGTATGCACTCTTTGTGAGTGCCCTCTGTCTAGTTATTAATGAACTATACTAGCTTGATTTTTCTGAGATCTATGGTTTGTCCCTGTCATGTTCCTGGTCTGATATAGAAGTCAAAAAGACACAAATATTTGAATTTCACAGTCTGGATTCCACCAAGAGCAGATAATAACACTCTTGCATATTGTGTTATTATCTGCTCTTGATTCCACCAAAATCTACATTACTCCATTATCTTCCATTCCAGGAGCAGGCAATGGCAGCATAACCTATATTTTGCCATGGTACTGCAGGCTTGTCTTATGGCGCTGGCCATAACTATATGGTAACATATTATAGCATGTTGTTCTGTCTATTCCGAGGTAATATTAATTGTCAGATAAATAACAACACAGAAATACACTCAAATAATTTACTCTACAATAAACAGTGAACGCAATATGACCTAGATAGACCCAGCACTTTTTGCATGTAGAAATCAGAGATTGTGCATTCTCGCAAACTTAATTCAAACCATACAGTAAAGATTGGTCGATGTGTAATGGGAACAAACTTTTCCTTTGGCTCGGATTATCGCAAGAGTGACGTAGCACTACACTAATCCAGACTGTGTAATCCAAATATTGGTGGATCTTTATGCACTTCTCGCTTGGATCAGATATGCGAGAGTGATAATTTATAGGTTTTATAGAATCAGGCAAACATAGCTTATGAATTATAAACCATTGGTATTTTAAAACCACGTTCATAACCTTACTTAATTAGATTTTAACTAAGACATTGGTAGCAGTTTTTATTGTTGGTCACTCTAGGTTTTATATGGTTTTGATGAGGTCTATAAGCCTCTCTAAATACTTGAAATATTAACAGTTTTCAGGATTGTTTATTTTGTGTGTGTAGTTACTGTAGGTAAATAGAAACACCTACAGGGGTTTCTGGTACGAGAAATACAGGTATTCACATCATAAGAAAGCTGTTTGTGTTTTCAGGGAGGTGGAACAGGTCTTTTTGCATTGCTACCACAGCCTAAACACGCGGTGACAAAAGAAACCAATAGGTTGCTTCTACCCTTCTCACTTACACGGAAAGTGTCTGAGAAACCCAAGGTCGCTGCTACAAATCCATTTGCACAGAAGAAGGCACCAGTTATATCTAGGTAGGTAATGATAATAGACATTTTTACAGTGAATACAAAATATATATATTCAAGAGTGAGATTGCAGATCGTTGTGTACATGGTTTTTATGGAGGTAATAGCGATAAATAAATTTTTGTCTATGTGCATTGTCGGACTCTTTGTCTAACAGCATGCTCTGTTATTAACAGTGTCGTGGACGAGGTAGAATCTGACAGTGACGAAGGCGTCGGAAACTTTTTCTCGCTGGATCAGGTCAGTGAGCAGAAGGTGCTACCCAAAGTAGGAATGGAACCATATGTAGTTGGCGATGTGGCTCATAGCGCACCTGTCACAGCACCACCGCATGGCAGTATAGTTAGTCACGGCGAGTCCGGCTCCGCACTAGTGGCGACAACAGCAGCATCGTCAGCAACGTCAGGTGGTGAAGACAGTCATGCTAATCCAATCCGAATTGACGATGCAAAGACTACGGTGTATGAGGCCTCGGCTGACAGCATGGATGAACCACTGAAATTTGGTAGTGGAGCATCTACGTGGAGCTCTCGCCAGTACACCCAGATACACGGCGGTCGTCAGTTTGGGTATGGGAGCCAGAATGCTGGACAGTACATGGATCATGTCAGCAGCCAGCCTATTGGACAGTACAAGTACACTGACCAGGGTAGTGGCCCCGCTTACAATGATCCCTACTCAAGTAGTGTGGGAACACATGGTATCCAGTCGAATGAACAGTACACGTACAGTGTACAAGGAGGTTATGACTACAATGAAGTTCAATCGACTAGCAGTGTCAAACAACCGGTGAGAATAGACAGAGAAAGAAGATTGCTATTAAAACATTAGACTTCCCATTAAATTTGATTTCATGGATGTCAGTGTTCCACCCTAACAAAAATATAATTTCATATGAAGAATCCAGTTCTACTAACACTACCAGCAATACATAATTGAAGGATGGTAACTACTGTCAAAATTTTTATATAACTAGCTGCTTAGATTTAACTTAATTATTTTACCAAAATTAACTCATTTGATTTGGGCTGTTATGTCTGCTTATTTAAAATCTATAAAAACCTCTGTCGATGATTTATGCATTATTTGCTGTGAACTATATGTGTGCATGTTACAGGGGTATTCATTGGAGGCTGGGCAAAGCTTAAGTCACCTAGTACAAGATGAAAAGGTAAGAAATATTGTGTAGCATGAAGCCTACCATAATGCATTGCTCAGGTAATTGGATAGTGATCTGTTTCGATGGTAATGCTGCTTTAATCTCAAGCAGATTTGATATGAGGTAGGTCTAATTAAGTAAGACACTTTGCTGGAGTAATAATGTGTTAACAATATTTTTTAATAGTTCTTTACAGGAAAGACTTCATGGGAAAAATACAAGATGTTAGGGCAATACTTTTAATTTTTCTCATGTCTTTCTAATCGCTTGAGTATTTATCGTCATTCCTTGCTTGACAGCAAGTGTGTGTAGTAATGATAATATGTCTCATGCTCTTGTACGCTCATACATTGTTATATCCACCACATATACAGCATTTTGTGATTAAGTTTCAATGGCCATGTCTGCGTCATAGTTTTAAGATTAAGTTTTTATGTATAATTGGGTTATTGAGATGATATGAGTGCCAGAGTGGATTTCAAATTGCATTAATATAACTGGTATAATTATTTTGCAGTTCCTAAAAATACAGGGAGTGAAACAACGAGGAAAAGAGGAGATCAACTTCATTGATGTGAATGCAGACGATGAGCTGGGTCATATGGACAACCATCTCATCAAAGGATTGAGTGAAGAGACAGAACACAGGTAAGACAATTTTTAGCTCACCTTGACATCGTCAAGCTGAGCTATTGCCATGGGTCGTCGTCCGTCGTCCGTCCGTCCGTCAACATTTCGCTACGGTCAATGATAACTCAGGAACCGTTTGGCCCACATGTTTGAAATTGGGTATAGTTGTTACTGCTATGCTCCCATATTAAACGTCCTATTTTGAAGCACGCCAGTCGACGTACTTTCGAGCCACGGCAATTTTTTGGCAAAAATGGGAATTGCCATTAGTCAGTTCAGGTTCAACGGATTTTGCTCATTTTTGGTATGTGCATGAATAAGGGCTAGGGGTTTTGATATTTAAAAGAAAATTATGCAAATTAGGTAGGGTTTGGCAATTATATAGCATATTATATAGACACAAACAGTCTGTGGTGTCACACTCGTCTGGTTCGTTTTACAAGATTTCATTGACAATATCATTAATGCAAAATTGGTATTTCCTCTCCACCCTGCCGATAAAACGTCTATATTAGAGTAAAGTTTTACAAAACATGTCGGAACGCAGCATAACTTATTTATTTCAAACATAATTCGGTCATAAATTGTGATTCATTTTGGTTTATAAATTATTATTGCGATATACAGATGACAATCGTTTCTATAATGTACGTCGATGGTTGCTCAATTAAAACTGACTTCTTCTTACTCACTCATTTGTGTTCTTTTTTTGTGGTGAGCTACAGTGCCATTGACACTTTCATTATTTTACTGGTCTGTTGTTACAAAGGCTAGTAATGTTATAATGATAAATAGTGATCTATATAGTAACCAGTAACCACGTTGCGAGGTTTATCGTAGTCATAACTGCTATAATAATGCTGTAAAAGCAGTGTAATGTGTTCTTTATGTGATTTGATGACATATTTTTATTTGAAAGTTCTAGTGTAGCAACACACTTAATTTAAAATTTGTGCAAAATTCAGAAATTCTTCTCATTTCTTTACTTAACTTATCATTCATGCAAATAAAAATGTTAACCAAATATTTGGGCACTATTCAGTTCTGTACTGTCTCAACTATGGGGGTGTTCATTTTAAATGTGATTATCTGATTCCTAGTGTTGTATTAAAATGTTTGCATGTACAGAAAATCGAACTTGATTATCTTTTTAGATCTAAAAGAAAAAAGGAAGAAATGCCATCGGCTCAACAAAAACGAAAGCATCAGTTGAAGTATTTAGCATTTCAGGTATGAAATGTACTACATCCTTATCAAATTAAAATCCCTGCCTCTCAACATGTTTGCTAGATAATAGTCGTAATTTAGATAAGAGTTTATATTTCCATGTATTTTAACAGAGACTGTAAGGTTCAAGTCTGGGGAAGTCTCAAGGGAGTAGGTGAACATAGCAGGGAGGATAGGAAGATGAAAAGCAGAAAGCCGAAGGAGAAGAAGGGGATCGGGAGAGAGGTGTGTAATATTGTATTATAATCTTACTTTAACCTCTGACCCTTTTCTTTTGCAGGCAAAGGAGAGAGAGCTAGAGTTGAAAAATGCGTGGGCACAAGGGCGTGCAAACAGAAAAACTGCCCAGTCGAAATATGGATTTTGAAATTTGCTTAGTCTTTTGTTATCATACGTAGGAAGTATCTCCACCTGGTGGCATTGGTTTTATTTAATGGATTATGACAACATATTATGTGATCTGCTTCATGTAAATAACTGTTGGCTCAGTCGCATTGTAGTAGATGTACTCATGGATTGTTAGCTCCAATTATGCATTTCTAACCGTAATGTAAAAAATGTACAAGAACGATAAGCAAGATGTAAATTTTTGGATTTTTTAGACAGATAATACCTGTGCATACATTACAGCTTAATATCTAGAGTCATACTTGTGTGTAAATTCATTCATTTATGTTTAGTTGTCTTGAGTTTATTATGTTAAAACGTTAAGGTCAGGCAGAAACAAGTGGAAGAACTTGGAACAGATCATGTTCATGTTGTGACATGGAATGTATATAGGGTACACTAAATAAAGTAGAATAATATAAGTTACTAAAGTATGTAAACTACTACAGGTTTATATAAGTTGTTTTGATCTGTATATTAACCATTAATTTGTTATATGCTGAAAAAGCTTACGTGTGTAGTTCATTAGGCAAAATTTTATTTAGAACAAACTGTTGCTGTAGTTTGAAATGAAGCAGTCCATATCTCAATGACATGCAGACTGTCATATAAGTTCAAATGTTTATCATGTAGTCATGGGGGAAACTGTGTAATGTAAGCATACGTATTGACACTGCTAATGAGTGAAATAATGCGTCTTTTTCTTTGATAATGTATGAATTACTAAATGTAAACAAATATATTTAATCTTAATCGAACATTTATTGTTGTATTTATTAGTTTTGTTTAAAATCAATCGTTAATTTTGTTTATTTTTTTTAACCAGATAGGGTGCGTGATAATTACTTAACTGGTAAACAATGTGATAGAACTTTATTCAATTTAGCAACATTAAAGGTGCAATTTAAACCACATTTGTCACGTTATGGTTACAGACATTGGGATGAACATTGTTCATATTATTGTTGTATCATGCTACTCGTGAGTATGTCAGCTCTAGCTCAGATATTTAATTTCAGCTGTGTGTTAAACTGTTAATGCCTTACAAATACACATTGCATTAGAATGACATGCCCACACATGCCTTATAATATAGAACATAGTGATAAACGTTATAGAGTATATGTGCATGATCCCTAGTTGAGTGCATTAGAATTACATGAAAACATCACATTGCTTGCAAATATGTGTACTTTCAACCAGACCATCGCAATTTTTACATAATATGATGTATATGCAAGTTAGTGCGAAAAGAAAAACGTGAACGTTGGAAAAGTTTATTTGCACTGGGAGTTACTAGGAAACCACGAAGGGATTGAATATGTGGTCAAGAAAGCTTGATTCTTTCATAGTGCATTTTTAAATATCCAATAAACGTCTTCGCCGGTAGATGGGAATTCGCCTTTTTTCATCACTATATGCCTCCTTTTTTATTATTTTCTATTTTTCCTCTAGTTCTATTCCTTCTTTCCGTAACTTCATGTCATCTCTTTGTAATTTTGAGATCTCTCTGTAAGAAAAGGATTCCATTTCAAGTTTGATGCTGGATCGCCCGGTTGTCAAATAAATTACGATTTAGCGCGACAGATGACGCTACGGTCTCCCATCACAAACAAGCATGGACGGCACCGCTGTTGGTGAGTCTCTCCTACATGCTAGAATTTGACGATTTCTTACTATTTCAGACATGACATTTCAATATAGTGTGCGTTTTAGATGTTGAATGGTGTAGTTAAGGAACACATATTGTTGCATCGTGTGTTGATAGGTCTGTTTTAGTATTTTAAAGCTTGAACTGCTCGCATCATGAGTCGACGTACACGTCGGTGCTGATTGCCTGCTGCAAGAGCCAATAAGTTGAATAACGGTTGCTACTACTAGTACTAGCTCCTGGAATTCTTCATTAGGGCTCAGTACTTGAAACGGAATGTGTGAATTGCACTCAATGTTGACAGCGCGCGACTCATATGCTGTCATGCGATATCAATAGCAACAGCACTGCAAATTCACTGAGTCTGAAGTAACCGCTTCAAGTTCATGTTAGATGCAGATTGCAGTAACCCAGTAATAGTATTTCCAGTACTATAGTACAGAACTGAGTAAATAAATTTTATAACACTGGTACTGGTACTGGTGGTAGCGAGCATCCTCGTTGTCGTCAGCCTGACGTAATCTTCAACGTCTAACTAAAGAGTTTGACCTCGTCTTCATAACCTTACAGTTATGCAGTCGGAGAGTATGACCAAGTGGTTCAAGATATGCAGATGTAGATCTGTGTCACTGTCACTGCTAACGAACTATAGTACCGTCAACATTGGTATTTAGGTGCAGCAATCATGTATTTTTTAACCACTACCTATGGCTATATACTATAGTCACATAAAACATAGTTTTATTGTTTTTGGTGATGTTCACGTGATTGTTAGCTGCTATCATTATTCAGAGTGGCTATATGCCCGGCAGTCGGCATATATCTGCCGGCTGCCGGGCACGGTCTTCGATTTCCTAAATGACCGGCAGTTTTTAATTTTCTGCGTTATCTCAAGTAAACAAGGGTTAGGGTTAGGGTTAGGAACTGCTGGAGATTTAGGAAATCGAAGACCGTGCCCGGCTGCCAGGCATATAGCCACAGCGATCATTATTTCACACAAAAACAGTTGTAAATTCATAATCTTTGTGTACAAAACTTACATGTAATTTATACAGAGATTCCAATTTATGATAATATAATGTGTCATTAATTATTGATTGTATGTGTATAACCAACTTCATGTAACATAAATGTGGTGTTACCGTGTACATGAATTGATTGGTTTATATATTGTGCATTTGTTATCAGAAATATCATAATTATAGTAGTGATGTCATGAGTCTAAACTGTTACAACTTTTGGAGTGGCGTTTCATGCAAAATTCGGGTCAGTTATTCAGTAATTATTTAGTATTCATGTGTATAGCCAAATTTGGTTAATTAGCATTCCATGCAAGAAAGCTGTGTTACTGTTTTATGTTATGGAATTCGATATCCTGCATGCGGATACTGTTGCTATATAGTGCATGTGAACGTGGATATGTACATACCTACATACATAATATATAGGAATAACCAATTTCAGTTTTCCTTCATGCACTGTATGTTGTAACTTGTATCTGAAGTGCTTATAGGAAGGATGACAATGCTAGCTAGTGCATTTCAACATAAATAAATTTGGTGTGGCCTGATGTGTACTAAAAAGCAAAGGGCACATTTAAGGTGTACCCTAGTTATAAGTAATAGGACATGCACAATGCAAGTTGTGTGCAATAACTAGAATTATTTTTGGGATTTTCCTTTAGTGATCTTTATAGTTTATATACATGTAGGATTGACTGTATATATTGTGGTTGTGGTCTACATACATCTAGGTTAACAATCACTCCTGCGAAACCAGGTGGGACTGCTACGAATTTTAATTATTTTACTAATTATCCCTTTCATAACTGGCTGCTATGCTCACATTGAGGGTAGTTGTACAGCACATTATGCACACTTTTTCGTTCTAGTAAGAGTAGTAAGACCATATGATTAGATAGAGTATTAGCCTCCATTATCCAAATACCCATAATATCAACTGTGAGTAAAGGTTTAGCAATTATGCTCAGGTCTCCCTAATCTATGTCTGTTAAATTTCCATCTCTATGTGGATTTCTGTCCTGTGAAAATCACGAATTTTGAAAAATGAAAATAATTAAGAAATGCTTACATAATATAGTTCCATTATATCAAGAGTGGATAATAGAGAAGAGTATGTCACGGTTTTAACAGCGTTTTGCATCGTTTTGAACTGGTAACTAATCTATC